GAAGAAAATCGTGTTTTGTGTTCAACTGAGTTTCTCTCACCCACCTGTCCAATTCCTGCCTTGCCACAGAACTCCAGTATTTCATTATTTCTCACAACTCCCTATGTAGTTTTTTAAGACCAGACTCTTCACTCTTCTATCCTCCTCCTCCTCCTCCTCCTCCTCCTCCTCCTTCCTCCCAATCATTATTTGAAGCGTTAAGCTTTAAATAACCAAAGCCTACCCAAGGAAGATATGTACATGGATGGATAGAAACAGGATATATAAACAGTAGATCTATACCTATATATCAGTTTCCTTACCCTGGAGCTTCAGCTTATGAACAGATTGAGTGTGCATGTAATCAAGAAAAAAAATTATGAATAAGAAATAAGAAACCTTAAGGAGCACTGATAAATAAGATGTGGGAGGAAAGAGGTTGCTGTACCACAACTCTTCTTCCTACAACTAGAATTCCTGTTCCTGCTACTTAGGTTGTTATTCTAAGTAGTAGGGGTAGTAATAGTGGTTGTAGTATTTCTCTTTGTGGCTGTTGTGTGATTGCTTCAGAAAGCTCATCCTAAAAATGACCGAGCCGGGGCCTGCTAATACAAAGGGAGATCTGTTGCTCTCAGCTTGGTTCCTAGGGTCTTACCCTCCCCCACATCCCCTCCAAGAGAAATGGCTAGTTTTCAATTATACAAAGAATATAAAACTAAGGACAGATATCAGATGTTAATCTAAACTGTGTAAAAGGACAGGAAGAGTCAAGCTAAAGTGGAAGCAAGCAGGACAGTTCTCTTCTGTCCTGGCTTGCAAAGAAGACCTGAACACTCCTTGCAATGGCTATGTTATGTCAGGGTTTTTTATTCTTATTGTTTGAATTTGCCTTTTGATTCTTTGTTGGGGTGCCATGTTTTGAAACCGTTGTGTTTTAAAGGTGTTAGGAAACCTCACTGCCCTTAGTTATTAACAGTGAGCTGAGAACTCTTTATCCTTAGCAAACTCCTACCTGTTGCAACCTGTTACGATCGCACCCCGTTGCCTTTCCATGCCTGTGTGCAAATGGTCAACCTTCTTACTTGGCTCCTATCCCATTATATGCACGATGATCCCTTCATTTAGCATCTCTGAGCTGTGAGTTAGCCTTTTCTCTCTCACTGAACATATGCATTCACTTAGCACCCATCCTTGTATCTTCCATTTCTCCTCTTAAATTAAGTATATCCATGCTGTCTACTCGCTAAATGATTGCTTATTGGAAAGGCATTTAATAAAAATAGAGCTTTCTTCAGAATCTTTTTCTTAGGACAGGAAGGCGAGCAAGAAGAAACCCACTTTTGTGGCGTTCCCAGAACTAAACGGCCCTTTCTGAGGACCTTTACTTGCACAACCAACCATAGAGTCTGTGGATGTATTTCTAAATTTATCCCTTTCCTTGATCACTGGGATTTTCTGCTTGATTTACTAGATCCTTATTCCCACTCATGAAATGCAAATACAGAGTTGCCCATTGTAGCAGTTCTCTAAAATTGGTGGTGTGTATGAGTTGTATGCACAGACACACTTTAATATTGAAGAGTGGGTGGTGTAAGGATTGGCTGTAGACTAAGAAGCCTTCTCAGAAAAGACTCCAGGAAAAAGTCTTGCTGCTGCTGCATGTGAAGTCTAAACGCAGTAGATTCTTTCAGGTCACAGGCAGCTGCCTGGAAGAAAAGTTGAGCTGGCTGCAGTCTTCCTTCGGGCTACAAAAAATGAGGCTACCCTTTTCAGTCTGCAATTTTAAATCATTTCTTGTGCTAACTTTCAGGGGAGTAGAAACTTCCTGTGAAGTAGCAGCTTCCCCCTCTCCTTGGAAGGAAGAGCTGTCTCAGAGGCACCACTAGCAATGCCAGAAATGTTATCTAGCAGAGAGACAGGTTGCATGCCCTGTTTTTCATCTGGTTGTATTTTTATTTGATCCATCTTCCATCAATTTGGGGGAAGCGGTGAGAACTACTTTGAAATGTTACTTGTTTCTTTCAGTGACATTACAACAGAACTCATATGGGCTGGAAAGCAAGTTACCTTTCAGAATTATATTATTAGCACATTTTAGGGCTCCAGGCTGAGATGCAAGATGCAAAGGAAAGAATTCATCACAAAAGCTTGGCTACGTGCGCGCACACACACGCACACACACACACAGAGACATATCCACCTAGATTTAAGGTTATTTTGCCTATTCAAAAAAAAAAAACATTTCGCATCTGCATACGTACAAATGCAAATTCTTGCAGAGTAACTTTATTTTTACTGGTACACACTGAAACGTTACACCAAAGCTGTCCAGTTCCAAACAGCCACATCCTTAAAAGCTGGTGAAAATGGCTTTCTACCAGCAGTTCATTCCCCTACCAGCTGGAGACCATAAGAAATCTCTCTGCGGTCCATTAGATAAGCTAGATTCTAGAGATAAGATTCCTTGAGAGCCTTCTTGGATAAGATGCCCTGGTTAGGAAATGTGCCTCCAAAGAGGAACCACTAGCACTCACATCACAATCTTCTGAGCAACAGGCAAAGATATTCTCCTCTTTCTCTACCCATAGTTGGGCCATACTTTGTTATCTCTTTTTTGTCTTGATTATTTATTGATGGATTGCTCCTGTTTCCATGACTTTATTTGCTTTGAGGGAGCATACAATGCTTTTTCTATAAACTTAGGATGTGTTCAGTAGCTTTGCGATCTATCTAGAGGCTTTAGTTCTTAGATGAATTAGCAATGAAACAAACAAACAAGCAAAGTCACTAAGGGAGCCTAGAAGTAAAAACGTGGCTCTCTGGAGCATTATGAGAGCTCTGTTACCCCCACAGTGATCAAGAAAGGTTGCTGTGGGAAGTCAGATTGACACGATTCCTCCTTGGTGCCATGGGGGGATACATATCTATGTCTATCCCTCAGAAATAAGGGAGAGGTATTATGCCACCTCTGTTCCAGCAGGAGGCTGCCCGTGACTGTGCTACAAAACAGCAAAGCCATTAGTGAAATATAGTATAGCAAGCACTGGAGGAAGCACACTTAGTCTGAGGTGGGGCTTTGCAGAGAAAAATGTGTCTTCTCAGAGCACCAAAGCTCTGTTGACCAGTTGGTGGGGTTCAGTAGCTTTTTGATGGTGCTACAAAAGTGGCTGGAAAGACCCACTGTTGCCAAAGAAAACAAGACCAGTCTTTGGGCGTGGATCATGAAGCTTCTGATTTACAAGGCATTGGTTGCCTTTTGGGGGGAGGGGGTGGGGAGGGTGGAATGGGGCAGGGTTGAAACGGGAAGTCTGTCTCAGTCCGTACCTCTTCTGCGTTCCAGCAGGTGTCAGTTTAAATTGTCTGCTTCCTACGAGCATTTGCTTCAAAGCAATGACATTTTAAGTTAATTAAACGGAAGATAATTCCGTGGCATTTGCTTCTGCCATTCTTGAAATACAACCCTGTCTGTCTGCATGTGTTACCAAATCTTCCCCCCATCCTTTTCATCCAAATGGGAAGATGTAGATGATCAAGCTGAGCATGAGCAGCACCTCTCTCTTTTTTACCTCTCCCCCCCCCCCCCAAAAAAGGGCGCAGCCATAAGAAGTGCAGGCTCGCAGAATGGTTTAAAAGATCATTTGCTGGCTTGGCCACAAACAGGGGCTACCAGTTCAAAATCCAGGGCAAGGAGTCAGCATCACACAGACCTTTTCAAAAGGGGCAGGAAGAAGACAATGAAATGGGTTCGATGATGACCGGGCTAGTTGTTCCTACTTAATTGTACTAGCAATTAGGAGGACAATTAAATTGTGTTTTGTTTGTTTTTGGTCTTTTATTATTATTTTTAAGCGTATTGGTTAGCCAGGCATTAGCCTAGCAATTAGGAGGCATGATCCAACAGTCTTTTTTCTTTTTTTTTGGTGACAAGCTAAGAGCAACTACAGCTAAATCCTAACTGTCCTATGGTCAGAGGTAGCCTGCTGGATTAGATTGGCCTTTTCCTTCCTGAGCAACACAAAGAGTTTTCCCCACTGCAAATGGGTTTGTGGCTGCCTCTAAGTCTTGCAGCAATGCTCTGTAGGCCACAGAGTTCAAAACTCTGTGTGTCTCTGTGTTGTGGGTGGGTGTGGGTGTGGGTGTAAAATCTGAAACTAAAGAACCTGGGGCACCAAAGGAAGACAGGGAGCTATCTCCATCCCAAATCACCAATGGTGATGTTTTGATGAAGATCATGTTCTTTTTAAGTGGAAGCTGAGAATATGACAGAAAGGCTTTGTGTGTGTGTGTGTGTGTGTGTGTGTGTGTGTGTTGGGGGGGGTCTTGAAGGAACTTTTGGGGAAGACCTGCTTCCAAGTCATCTGCCTTTTGACAAAGTGGAAAGCTGTGGCAGGTGCAAGTTAGAGTGGAACCCACAAACAGATCATGATATATTACATAGCAGATTGAGATCAACACACAGTTTTCAGTATTGTGCCTTTAAATTCAACAGTAACATGGTGCAACTAGCCCCAGAATTCTCAAGCAAGCCATTGCTTTCATTTAAGCTTGTGCTTTGGTGTGGCTCATTTCAGAGCCAAGATTTGCAATTTGACTCTGTATGGGTGAGAGGAATTAAATCTATGTTCCCACCCTGATAGAGGTTAAGAATTCAGATAGTGTACAACAGCCTGTAAAAATTGTAAATGCTATTTTGCTTTTATTTTTAAACATATTTTTTGTTGTAGTTTTACAAAAAAAAATCAGTAATTGTTACTTTTTTACACTTTCTTTTCTGATTATTGACAGATCTTTATAGAGAGCTGTTATATGAAATATCTCTTTCAGAAAGTTGAATGTCTTGAAGGTTTTTAGCCACAGTAAAGCTAACATCCTGTCTTTTTGGACAGCTCCTTAAAAAAAAAAAAACAATTTCAGCACACAAGGGCTCTGGTAAGCCAGGTCAACCCTTATTGAATTGTCTTTTTATTTGCTCACTGCTATTTGGTTGCACACCAAGTGAAATCCCCCACTGGAAAAGAATTTAAAATCACACCTCACATTCCCTTGCTGGCTGCTGGTGGCACGTACAGGATCCATATTCATTTATGATCACCAGAGCTCCTTCAAGGTGGTTGGGTTTATAATCAACGTAATACTCCTGGGCTGACATGGCAGCCATTTGATGCATAGTCTGTTTTTGTTTCTGCTTCCTACGCTGGGTCACCAAGCACTGCCTCAGTTGCCTAAGGCTGACTGGGAAACATTTCCATGAAACATACAGTATCAAAACCACAATGAGGAAAGAGAAGATGAGGGCCATGGTCCCAGTAACCACCTTGTGAATCTGAACAGCATTCTCAGTGTTCTCGTTGGGTACAGGGACTGTCACAGCGTTGGTTGTTCTGTCTCCTTCTGTGTCCTGCACGTCATAGTTCAGAGTCGAAGGGCTGTAGCTGGCTGTTGGGTCACTGTTGTTTGCCACAGCAGAGAGGAGGCTCACGTCAGTTGTTAGGTCTGTGGCATCTTCACATAAGTGAAAAGCGTAGACTGCATCTAAGACATCCTCGCCCTGTGCATATTCAGGGGTGGCACAGAGTAAGTTGCTGTCGTAGCGGCCTTTAAAATTGCTGAGCCAAGAGGCCAAAGCGCAAATGTTTCGGCTGCAGTCCCAGATGTTTGCCGAGAGGCTGATGCTGATGAGGGACTTCCAGGAGTTGAGGATTCTTGGGTGAATGTGGGTGAGTCGGTTGGAATCCAGCTGAAGGGACTGGAGGTGAGGTACACTTTCGAAAACATGAGGCTCAATGTATTCTATCTCGTTGCTGGAGAGGTCCATGTTTTCCAGTTTCCATATCCAGTCCAAGGAGTTCACCACAATAGTGACTTTATTCCTCCGTAGGCAGAGAGAGTGCAAAGAGAGGAGCCGCGGGAAATGGGCCAAGTTCACTTTCACCAAGTCATTGTGCTCCAGGTGCAACTCGGTGAGCTTGAACAAGCCCGCAAAGGAGTTCCGAGCCAGGCTTTTCAACTGATTGTATCCGATGTCGAGAAACTTCAGGCTGCGGCAGTCTTGGAAGATTCGAACAGGCACAAACTTAATGGCATTGGACCGCATGTGCAACGTCGTTAGCTTGCGCAACCCATGAAACAGGTCTGGCTCCAAAGCCTGCAGATTATTGTAGGATAAATCCACACTACGCAAGTTCGGCATTGGCCGGAAAGTGGTGTTGGGCAGCTGGGTGATTTTGTTGGAACTCAGAGTGAGTTCTTTAACTCGCCGCAGCTTGTGAAAGGCATTTCCCTCCACGGAGCAAAGGTGATTGTGATCCAGATAGAGCCACGTGAGTTGTGTCAACCCTGTGAACTGTCCATCACGCAGCTCAGAAAGGCTGTTGTACCGCAATGACAAACCCATCACGCTCGACAGGTTGTGCGGCATCTCTGTGAGATTCAGCGACTCGCAGTACAAAAGCCTGCCCTCACACCGACAAAGCTGCGGACACCCGGTATGCACGGCTGGAAGCATTTTGGAGAAAACACCGAGGGTACACAGGATCAATCCTGGGGGCTTTTTCAGCAGCCAGTTTAAACAGACACCAATAAGAAGGAAATCCATTAGCAAGAATATCCCCAAATGTGCTTGAGAAAGTCCATTGAATCTTTTACTGGTCAGTTTCCTTTCTCCGTATAAATTCTACATCACACCGTATGTAAACGAAAGGGCAAGGGGACGGGCGCAGGCAAAAATAAGAGAGTCATTGGGCCAAATACCTGACTTTGTGGGATTTTGGGGGGCTGGTTGGCATAAACGCAGCATGCAGGACTCTGTACAGCATTAAAGTTCAGAAGCATTCAAAAGGTACACAAGAATTTGTCCATTTTAGACGCCGCAGCAAAGACGAGAACAATTAAGGGGGAAAAAAAACTCTCTCTTCACAAAAGAATGAAATTAAAAAGTGTCTTACCCACCCTTTTCCAGAGATTGACAGCCTCCATTCAGCGGCTTCCTTTGTGTTTGACTTAATTATATGCAGGGCTAAAAAAGAGCTCTCTGTTGCTACAAATTCGGTCTCTTTCAGCTTTTTGCACGGCTGGCAGGCTCACAATGTCTACTTTGCTTCATCTCAAAGGGCGAGAGGCATGTCCAGCTATCTTTTTTTTTTTTTTTCCTTATTTTTAAGCTGACTCCCAGGACCTTCAAGTTTCAGAAGTATGGGAATAAGGGTTGATCTTCCTTCCTTTCATTCTCTTCCTCTCCCTCTCTGTCCTTTTTCTCTGCAGTTAATACTGTGACGTGGGGAGGGAGAGGGGAGGGAAAAAGGGGAAAAAAACACACACACACCAAAGAAAGAATGAAGCCCCTTCCAAAACTCTTAACAGCTCCCCAGGATTTGACAGTCTCTTTAGTGTCCGTCATTGGAGATGAGCGGTGGCCACCTTTTTACTCCTTCGAGGCAGCTTACGATTCGTTCTCTGACCGGACAGGCTAAAAATGGCTTTATTTTCCATTCCTGGTTCTCTTGGCTTGTAAGAAGATGCTTAAGAGCAGAGGGAGGAAAAAGAGCGAGCGAGAGAGCAAGGTTCCTTCCAGTCGAGCAGGATGAAGCTCCAGCATGCAGAGGCTTCTACTGCTCGCTGAGTGTCGTAAGCTGTTCATGATCGTATGCCTGCGCCGTGCTTCACAGACACGGGCAAATGGAAAAAGGGGTGGGCATAAAATTTTAGTGAACCAGGAAAGGGAGATATGTTCACTGATGAAATGGAAAAGGCTTCAGCCCTGCTCGCTGTTACCCCAACATATGCACACATGCATTGCACACACAGAGCAACAGCTGCAGTGGCAACACACTTCTCTAAGGAAGAAGCCGTGCAATTTCATGCCCCCTTTTTTCTCTTTGTCTCAAGGGTCCAAGTGCATAACGCATGTTGAGATTTG